CTGTACCTGGTGGCTGACTGCTGGCACAGATTACCGTAACCTGCTGTGGCGCACTATTGGCCCGTCTTGCTGTTACGCCATATGACCTGCTATTTTCGGGTGTTTTGATGTTCCTGTTACGCCATAAACATGCTGTTACACATATTGACCGTCTTGTACCGTTACGCCGTAACCTGCTTTACACTGTGTCCCGGATCGTTGCCGCCATAACCTGCGCTTTTGATTGGTCGTCTTCTTCGTCGCACCGCCAACCTGCTGGTACGGTGGCCCGGATCTTCGCTTCGTTACACCATAACCTGCTGTTATTGCCACACGGTGTAGATCTTTGCTGTTTTTCCATGACCTGCTGCGCGCAAGGGGTGTGGATCTGGCGTTTTCCTGGCTACTGGTAAACACTGTGGCCAGATCTTTGCTGTCACCACATGACCACTGTGCACGATTGGCCGTTGGACCGTACTGGTACAGTTGACCGGATCATTTGCTGGTTACACCGTAAACCTGCGTTGCCTAAAGTGGCTCCATCTGCTGTTCCTGTCTTCATTCCTGTGTTCTTTCCTGTCCCCATTCCCTGTGTTCGTCTTTTCCTTCCTTCACTGTTCCTGTTTCCTATTTTATTGTCGTTTGGTCTGTTTCTTGAGATCTGTTTCCTCTTCCTATTCTTCCTCTTTCCTTCAGTGGTCGTCTTCCTTCCTTCTTCATTCCTCTTTCCCTCTTCCCTGTCTTCCATCTTCCTTCATTCCAGCTATCTTTCTTCTTCAGTGTGTCTTCACTGTCTCATGTTCCTTCTTCCGTCTTTCACTATTCCTGCTCACTGTGTCCGTCTTCTTCCTACTAATACCTGGTGTTCGTCTTCACTGTTCCTCTTCCTTCACTGTCTTCATTCCTCTTCCTATTACTATTGTGCGTTTGGTCTGTTCCTGCTTTCCACACAATTGGCCGTCTTCATTTCCTTCCTATTTTCATTAACCGTCTTTTCATTCCTTTCTTTCTTCCACAAGTGGTCGTCCTTCACTATTCCATAACCACTATTTTAAAAGTGGCTTTTTGTCTTTGCTGTCACACACTGTGGCCTATTACTTTTCAAAGTGTGAATCTTGCTTTCATTCCACCATAACCTACTGTGCCTAAAATTGACAGTCTTGCTGTTACCATAACCCACTACCTAAAAAGTGGCTGTTGTCTTGCTTTCGTTACACCATAACCTACTGCACCTAAAAGTGGCCAGATCTTTGCTTTCGTTACACCATGAACTGCTGCACCCACCAGTGGCTGTCTTTGCTGTTACACCATAAACCTGCTGTGCACGGTGGCCAGATCTTTGCTTTCGTCTCATCGTGACCTACTGGCCGCACGGGTGAGGCCCGTCTTTGCTGGTTACACCATGACCTGCCCAATACACGGTGGCCGTCTTGCTGCTGCACCATGACCTGCTGCGCACACGGTGGCCGTCTTTGCTGTCACCTGATAACCTGCTGGCGCACAAGGTTGCTGTCTTTGCTGTTGCACCGCCAGCCTGCTGTTGCCTGGGGTGGCCAGATCTTGCTGTCACCATAACCTGCTGTTGCACAAGGTTGGCACGATGTTGCTGTTACACCGCCTACTGTTGCACACGGTGGCTGTCTTGCTATTACACCATAACCTACTGTGCACAAGGTGTGCCGTCTTGCTGGTGCACCATAAACCTGCTATTACCGCACGAGTGGGGCACCGAGCTGCTATTACGCCCATAACCTACTGTTGCACACGGTGTGCGTCTTTGCTTCGTCACCATAACCTACTGTTACACAAAGTGGCCAGATCTTTGCTTTGTTACCATAACCTACTGTTACCCACACGGTGTGCGTCTTGCTGTTGCACCATAACCTACTGGCCGCACAGTGGGCGTCTGGCTGTTCACCATATTTTACTGGCGAAGCACTGTGTGGCCGGGTCTTTAACGTCACGCCATAACCTACTGTTGCACACGGTGGCCGTCTTTTACCGCGGCCTACTGTTACACGGTGGCCAGGTCTTTGCTGTTACCACCGGCCTACTGTGCACAAGGTGACCATCTTGCTGTTACACCACGTAACCTACTGTTGCCTGGGGTGGTACGATCGCGCTGTTACGCCATGACCTACTGTGTACTGTTGAGCCCGTCTTGCTGTTACACCGCCGGCCTGCTGTTGCACAAATTGGTAGATGGCTGTTGCACCATAACCTGCTGTGCACACTGTGGCCGGTTTGGTCTGTTCACCATAACCTACTGGCGCACGGTGGCCGTCTTGGTCTGACACCATAACCTACTGGTGAAATTATTGAGATCTTGCTGATTTTCCATAACCTGCTGTGCACACAGTGGTCGTTGCCTGATCGCCGTAACCTACTGGCCACACAAAGTGGCTGTCTTTGCTGTTACACCGTAACCTATTGCACAAAGTGGCCGTCTTTCGTTACACCATAACCTACACTGTTACCACAAAATTGGCCAGATCTTTGCTGTTACCATAACCACTGCACACAAAGGTGGCTGTCTTTGCTGTTACACCATAACCTACTGCTGGTGGCCAGACTTGCTGTTACACCATGAACTTCCTGCGCACACAGTGGCTGTCTTTGCTGTTACACCATAACCTGCACTGGCTGCGGTGGCCAGATCTTTGCTGATGCTCGTCGTGACCTACTGTTGCTGTTGGCCGTCTTTGCTCGTTACGCCATAACCTACTTTACACTGTCCGTCTTGCTGTTACCATAACCTACTGGCGCACGCACGGTTGTCGTCTTTGCTGTTACACCATAACCTACTGTTACACAAAGTGGCTGCGTCTTGCTGTTTACAAAACCTGCTGTACACTGTGGCGTTTTTGGTCTGACACCATAACCTACTATTTTTACACAGTGTGAATCTTCGGTCTGACACATAACCTACCTGGCGCACAGGTGGCCGTCTTTGCGTTACACCATAACCACTGTTACGGTGGTCGTCTTGCTGTTACACCATAAACCTACTGTGCACAAAGGGTGGCTGTCTTCTTTCGTCACTGTAACCTATTGCGCACAAAATTGGCCGTCTTGCTGATTACACCATAACCTACTGTTACACAAGGTGGCCCGTCTTGCTTTCGTTACACCATAACCCACTGCACACACAAAGTGGTGATATTTGCTGTTACACCATAACCTACTGCGCAAAGTGGCCGTCTTGCTGTTACACCATGGTTGCTGCACACCCCACGGTGGCTGTTGTCTTTAGCACCGATTTTCATAACCTGCTGACAATTGGCCGGGTCTTTGCTGTCTCATCGTGACCTGCTATTTTACGGTGGCCCGATGTTGCTGTTACACCATAACCTGCTATTTTGGTGGCCAAATCTTTAACTTTCTTTACACCATAACCTACTGCGCACACACGATTGGACGTCTTGCTGATCACAATATTACTGCTTTAAGTTGCTGAATGTTGCTGTTACGCCATAACCTGCTGTTACGCAAATTGGCCAGATCTTTGCTGTCACCATAACCTACTGTGCACAAAGTTGCTGTCTTGCTTTGTTACACCATGACCTGCTGTTTTACACGGTGGCTGTCTTTGCTGTTACACCACGTAACCTGCTGTTGCACAAAGGTGGCCGTCTTGTACAATTTTCCATAACCTACTGTGCACAGCGGCTGACGCTGATACATAACCTACTGTACGCACGATTGGCTGTCTTGCTTTCGTTACACCATAACCACTGGCGCAGAGTTGTAGATCTTGCTCGTTACACCATGACCTACTGTTACGCACTACCGGTGTGGCTGTCTTCGCTGTTACACCGCCAACCTGCTATTTTGGTGGCCAGATCTTTGCTTTCTGTTAAACCAAAATATGCTGCTGCCACACGGTGATCTTCGCTGTTTACACCATGGCCTACTGTGCACCACGGTATTGAATCTTTGCTGTTTCACCATGACCTACTGTGCACAAAGGTGTTTTCCGATGCTTTGCTGGTTACGCCATGGCCTACTGTTGGCCGGTCTTCGTTTCACCATGGCCTACTGGCGCACGGTGTTGCTGAATTACCATAACCTGCTGTTGCGCACGATTGTTGATCTTTGCTGTTTCACCATAACCTACTGTATGCAGTTGTGATCGGCGCTGTTACGCCATGACCTACTGTTGCACCGAGGTGTGGATCTTTGCTGATGCGCCGACCTACTGTTACGCACTGTTGACCGTTTGTTTACGCCCTAAACCTGCTGGCGCACGGTGGTTGACTTCTTTGTTTCACCATAAACCTGCTGTTTTCGATTGACGGTCTTGTACGTTACCATGACCTACTGGTACAAATTGGTTTTGACTGGCACCGTTACACCATAGCCTGCTGTGCCTGGTGTGTGGATCTTCGCGTTACACCACGCCAACCTACTGAAAGTTGCCGTCATTTTTCATTTCTTTCTTTCTATTTTCTTTCTTCATTCCTCTTTCTTCAAGTTACCGTCTTCTTCCTGTTTCCCTGGTGCTGTCTTCACTATTCCTCTTTCTTCAGCCGTCTTCTCCCTCTTCTCTTCCTGGTGTGTCTTTCATTCCTGTGTCTTCATTTCCTTCTTCATCTTCCTGCCTATTCTTTGTTCCTTCTTCTTCGTCTTCCCACCAGTGGCCGTCTTCAATTCTATTTTCGTCTTTGTTCCTCTCTTCTTCTTTCATCTTCATTCCTCTTCTATTTTCTTTCCGTCTTCTGTTCCTGCTCTATTTATTCTTCTTCCTTTCTTCTATTTTTATTCCGTCTTCACTGTTTCCTTTCTTTCTACTGTATAAAAGTTCTGTCTTTACTATTCCTCTTCCTATTTTCTTCCGTCACTGTCCACCATTTCCTTCCATTCCTGGTCAGTTGTTTCTTTCATTTCCTTCTATTTCCGTCTTCCGTCTTTATTTTCCTCTTCTATTTCTTCATTCCTTCATTAAGCCGTCTTACTATTCCTGTTCCTACTATTTTTCAAGTTACCGTCTTGTTCCTGTTTCCTATTTTCCGTGTTAGCTGTCACTGTCCTTTCCTGTCTTCCTCTTCTACTATTTTAGGGATTTTCGTCTTTTCCTCTTTCTTTGGTGCTGTCTTCTGTTCCTGTACCTGGTGTGTCTTCCTGTTCCTGCTGGTGTGCGTCTTCCTGTATTTTGGTGTGGATCTTCCTGTTTCCTGTGTCTTCCTGTGTGCTGTTTCCTGTGTGCCTGGTGTGGGTCTTCCTGTGTGTCTTGCTGTTTCCTGTGCTGTCTTTGTTCCTGTTCTTTTCTTCCATGTTGGCCGTTGTTGGTTGGCTGTGTGTCTTTCTTTGATTCTGTGGTCAGTCTTCATTCCTGTGCCTGATTGGCTGTCTTCTTCCTGGCTGGGATTGCCGTCTTGCTGATTCTCTTCCTACTGATACACAAAGTTGGCTGTCTTGTGATTTTCCTTGACCTACTGTGCCTACAAGTTGGGCCGGTCTTGTTTTCACCATGGCCTACTGTTTCCTGATTGGCTGTCTTGGCCTCACTGTGTAGGATGTGGATCTTGCTGTTTCACCATGGCCTACTGTGCCTGATTGGTCTTCTTCCACCATGACCTACTGGAGTGGTGATCTTGTTTCACCATGTGTTACTACCTGATTGGTGATCTTGTGATTACCATGACCTACTGTTGCCTAGGGAGGTGTGATCTTGTGTTTCACCATGACCTGCTGTGCAGTGGCTGTCTTGTGATTACACCATGACCTGCTGTTGTCTAGGGGTGTGGATCTTGTGTCCTCCTGGCTCTACTGTGCACACTGTGTGGCTGTCTTGCTGTTACACCATAACTTACTGTTTTTACAAAGTTGCTGTCTTTGCTGTTACACCATAACCTACTGTACAATAAAGTGGCCGTCTTTGCTGTTACACCATAACCTACTGTACACAAAAGTGGCCGTCTTGTTGTTACACCATAACCTACTGTACACACACAGTGGCTTGTCTTGCTGTTACACCATAACCTACTGTTACACAAATAGTGGCCGTCTTGTTACACCATAACCTACTGTACAATAATTGGCTGTCTTGTTGTTACACCATAACCTACTGTACAATAAAGTGGCCGATCTTGCTGTTACACCATAACCTAAATGTTACACACAGTGGTCTTGCTGTTACACCATAACCTACTGTACACACAGTAATCGTCTTGCTGTTACACCATAACCTACTGCACACACAGTGGCCGTCTTGTTGTTACACCATAACCTACTGTACACACACAGTGGCTGTCTTGCTGTTACACCATAACCTACTGTACACAAAGTGGCTGTCTTGCTGTTACACCACATAACCTACTGTACACAAAGTGGCCGTCTTGTTGTTGCACACCATAACCTACTGTAATACAACAGTGGCCGTCTTTGGCTGATTACAATGCCATAACTCCTGCGGTACACACAGTGGCCAGATGTTGCTGTTACACCATAACCTACTGTACACACAGTGGGTCGGTCTTGCTGTTACACCATAACCTACTGTACACAAAGTGGCTGTCTTTGCTGTTACATTCATAACCTACTGTACACAAAGTGACCGTCTTGCTGTTACACCATAACTCCTGTTTACACACAGTGGCCAGTCTTGGCTGTTACACCATAACCTACTGTACACACAGTGGCCGTCTTGTTCGTTACACCATAACCTACTGTACACACAGTGTGCCTGATCTTGCTGTTACACCATACAACCTGTGTACAATAATAGTGGCCAGTCTTGGCTGTTACACCATAACCTACTGTACAACAAAGTGGCTGTCTTGCTGTTACACCATAACCTACTGTACACACTGTGGCCGTCTTGTGGCCGTCTTTGCTGTCACCTGGTTGTCACATTAACCTACTGTATTACCAAAGTGGCCGTCTTGCTGTTACACCATAACCTACTGTATTGGCACACAGCGGTTGGTTGGCTGTTACACCATAACCTGCACTGTACACAAAGTGGCCGTCTTGCTGTTACACCATAACCTACTCGTACACAAAAGTGGCTGTCTTGCTGTTACACCATAACCTACTGTACACAAAGTGGCCGTCTTGCTGTTACACCATAACCTACTATTACACACGGTGGCCTGTCTTGCTGTTACACCATAACCTACTGTACACACAGTGGCCGTCTTTAGTTGTTACACCATAACATACTGTATGCACACAGTGGCTGTCTTGCTGTTACACCATAACCTACTGTACAATACTGGTGGCTGTCTTGTTGGTTACTGACCATAACCTACTGTACACAAAGTGGCCGTCTTGGTCTGTTACACCATAACTCTACTGTACACACAAAGTGGCCAGTCTTGCTGTTACACCATAACCTACTGTACACACAGTGGCCGTCTTTGCTGTAACACCATAACCTACTGTACACAAAGTGGCCGTCTTCGTTGTTACACCATACAACCTACTGTACACAAAGTTGCTGTCTTGCTGTTACACCATAACCTACTGTACACAAAGTGGCCGTCTTCCCATTACACCATGAACCTACTGCACACACTGTGGCTGTCTTGCGGTTACACCTCATAACCTACTGTACACACAGTGGCCGTCTTTGCTGTTACACCATCGCCTACTGTCAATTTTACAGTGGCCAGCTTTGCTGTTACACCATAACCTACTGTACACACTGTGGCTGATCTTCGCTGTTACACCATAACCTACTGTTTACACAAAGTGGCCCGTCTTGCTGTTACACCACCATAACCTGCTGTACACACAGTGGCCGTCTTGCTGTTACACCATAACCTACTGTAATAATTACAGTGGCTGGGTCTTGTTGTTACACCATAATCCCTGCTGTACACACAGTGGCTGGATCTGGCTGTTGCATAATAACCTGGCTGTGCACAAAGTGGCTGTCTTGGGTGTTACACCCTAACCTACTGTACACAAAGTGGCTGTCTTGGCTGTTAAGCACCATGGACTACTGTACAATAAAGACGCTGTCTGTTGTTACACCATAACCTACTGTACACAAAGTTGCCAGATCTTGCTGTGGACACCATAACCTACTGTACACACAGTGGTGGATCTTTGCTGTTACACCATAACCTACTGTACACAAAGGTGGCCGTATTCCTTGTTGTCACACTGTAACTCCCATTGGTACCACAAAGTGGCCCTATCTTGCTGTTATTCCTAACTACATAACCTATTCACTGTACTTTACAAGTTGCTGGGTCTTGTCTGTTACACCATAACCTCACTGTACACAAAAGTGTTTCGTCTTGCTGTTACACCATAACCTACTGGTACACAAAGGGTCAGCTCTTACACTGAACTGCCACACACAGTCCTACTGTACACACCACTTCCTCTTCCTTCTTCCATCTTCTTCATCCTTCCTATTCCATTCCTTTCCCTATTTCTTCCTGTTTCTATTTTGGTCTTCCGTCTTTCTTCCTGTTTCCTATTTTCTGTCTTCTTCCTATTTCGTCTTCTTCTCTTCTTCCGTTTTCTTCTACTATTTTCATCCTTCCTCTTCTTTTCATTCCTTCCTTCTTCCATTGACCGTCTTCACTATTCCTCTTCCTTTTCTTTGTCTTCTTCCGTCTGTCCTTCTTCCGTCTTCCTTTTCTTCGTCTTCTTCCTGGTCGTTGGCTATTCTTTCTATTTTCTTCTTTATTTTCTTTCCTATTTGGCTGTCTTGCTGTTCTGACACCCGTAACCTACTGTACTGTGTGGCCGTCTTGTTGTCTCATCGTAACCTACTGTCTTTATACAGTGGGCCGTCTTGTTGTTATCTTCACCATCTTTGGTGTGTCTGTACAATACACAGTGGCCATCTGCTGCTACTACACCTTAACCTACTGCACACACAGTGGCCTGTCTTGCTTGTCTACACCATAACCTGGGGTCTTCCTATGTACACACTGTTCCTGTATTCGCCTGTGTGCCTGGTGTGCGTTGTGTGGTCTTCTGTGTGTTGGCTGTGTCTTGTGTGTCGGCCGTTGTAGATTCCTGGTCTTCTTTGGTCGGAGTTAGTCTTGCTGTTACACCATAACCTACTGTACACAAAGTGGCTGTCTTGCTGTTACACCATAACCTACTGTACCACCATACACAAGTGGCTGTCTTGCTGTTACACCATAACCTACTGTACACAAAAGTGGCCGTCTTGCTGTTACACCATAACCTACTGTACACACAGTTGGCTGTCTTTGCTGTTACACCATAACCTACTGTACACACTGTGGCTGTCTTGCTGTTACTGTTACACCAGTGGCCGATCTTAAGTTGTTACACCATAACCTACTGTACACTGTGTGGCCGTCTTGCTGTTACACCATAACCTACTGTACACACAGTGGCCGTCTTGCTGTTACACCATAACCTACTGTACACAAAGTGGCCGTCTTGCTGTTACACCATAACCTACTGTACACAAGTGGCCGTCTTGCTGTTACACCATAACCTACTGTACACAAAGTGGCTTCGTGGCACTCATAACCTACTGTACACAAAGTATGCCGGTTGTTACACCATAACCTACTGTAAACACTGTGGCTGTCTTGCTGTCACCCATAACCTACTGTACACACAGTGGCCGTCTTGCTGTTACACCATAACCTACTGTACACACAGTGGCCGTCTTGCTGTTACACCATAACCTACTGTACACAAAGTGACCGTCTTGCTGTTACACCATAACCTACTGTACACAAAGTGGCTGTCTTGCTGTTACACAATAACCTACTGTACACAAAGTGGCTGTCTTGCTGTTACACCATAACCTACTGTACACAAAGTGGCCGTCTTGCTGTTACACCATAACCTACTGTACACAAAGTTGCCATCTTGCTGTTACACCATAACCTACTGTACACACAGTGACTGTCTTGCTGGTACACCATAACCTACTGTACACAAAGTGGCCGTCTTGCTGTTACACCATAACCTACTGTACACACACGTACAGTGGCCGTCTTGCTGTTACACCATAACCTACTGTACACAAAGTTGCCGTCTTGCTGTTACACCATAACCTAATGTACACACAGTGACCGTCTTGGTCTGACACCATAACCTACTGTACACACAGTGGCCGTCTTGCTGTTACACCATAACCTAATGTACACACAGTGGCTGTCTTGCTGTCACACCATAACCTACTGTACACACTGTGGCCGTCTTGCTGTTACACCATAACCTAATGTACACACAGTGGCCGTCTTGCTGTTACACCATAACCTACTGTACACACTGTGGCCGTCTTGCTGTTACACCATAACCTACTGTAAACACAGTGGCCGTCTTGCTGTTACACCATAATCTACTGTACACAAAGGGGCCGTCTAGCTGTTACACCATAACCTACTGTACACACAGTGGCCGTCTTGGTCTGACACCCTAACCTACTGTACACAAAGTGGCCGTCTTGCTGTTACACCATGAACTGCTGCACACACAGTGACTGTCTTGCTGTTACACCATAACCTACTGTACACACAGTGGCCGTCTTGGTCTGACACCCTAACCTACTGTACACAAAGTGGCCGTCTTGCTGTTACACCATAACATAATGTACACACAGTGGCTGTCTTGCTGTTACACCATAACCTACTGTACACACAGTGACTGTCTTGCTGTTACACCATAACCTGCTGCACACACAGTGGCCGTCTTGCTGTTACACCATAACCTAATGTACACACAGTGGCTGTCTTGCTGTTACACCATAACCTACTGTACACAAAGTTGCTTTCTTGCTGTTACACCATAACCTACTGTACACAAAGTGGCCGTCTTGCTGTCACACCATAACCTACTGTACACACTGTGGCCGTCTTGCTGTTACACCATAACCTACTGTACACACAGTGGTTGGCTTGCTGTTACACCATAACCTACTGTACACACGGTGGCCGTCTTGCTGTTACACCATAACCTACTGTACACACAGTGGCTGTCTTGCTGTTACACCATAACCTACTGTACACAAAGTTGCTTTCTTGCTGTTACACCATAACCTACTGTACACAAAGTGGCCGTCTTGCTGTCACACCATAACCTACTGTACACACTGTGGCCGTCTTGCTGTTACACCATAACCTACTGTACACACAGTGGTTGGCTTGCTGTTACACCATAACCTAATGTACACACAGTGGCCCTCTTGCTGTTACACCATAACCTACTGTACACACAGTGGCTGTCTTGCTGTTACACAATAACCTACTGTACACAAAGTGGCTGTCTTGCTGTTACACCATAACCTACTGTACACAAAGTGGCCGTCTTGCTGTTACACCATAACCTACTGTACTCAAAGTTGCCGTCTTGCTGTTACACCATAACCTACTGTACACAAAGTTGCCGTCTTGCTGTTACACCATAACCTACTGTACACACAGTGACCGTCTTGCTGGTACACCATAACCTACTGTACACAAAGTGGCCGTCTTGCTGTTACACCATAACCTACTGTACACACAGTGGCCGTCTTGCTGTTACACCATAACCTACTGTACACACAGTGGCCGTCTTGCTGTTACACCATAACCTACTGTACACACAGTGACCGTCTTGGTCTGACACCATAACCTACTGTACACAAAGTGGCCGTCTTGCTGTTACACCATAACCTAATGTACACACAGTGGCTGTCTTGCTGTTACACCATAACCTACTGTACACTCTGTGGCCGTCTTGCTGTCACACCATAACCTACTGTACACACAGTGGCCGTCTTGCTGTTACACCATAACCTACTGTACACACTGTGGCCGTCTTGCTGTTACACCATAACCTACTGTACACGCAGTGGCCGTCTTGCTGTTACACCATAACCTACTGTACACAAAGGGGCCGTCTAGCTGTTACACCATAACCTACTGTACACACAGTGGCCGTCTTGGTCTGACACCCTAACCTACTGTACACAAAGTGGCCGTCTTGCTGTTACACCATGAACTGCTGCACACACAGTGGCTGTCTTGCTGTTACACCATAACCTACTGTACACACAGTGGCTGTCTTGCTGTCACACCATAACCTACTGTACACACAGCTGTCACACTATGAACAACTGTACACACAGTGGCTCTTGTCACACCATATGAACAACTGTACACCAGTGCCCGTCTTGGTCTGACACCATAACCTACTGTACACACAGTGGCCGTCTTGCTGTTACACCATAACCTGGCTGTGCACATAACCTACTGACCGTCTTGCTGGTACACCATAACCTACTGTACACAAAGTGGCCGTCTTGCTGTTACACCATAACCTACTGTACACACAGTGGCCGTCTTGCTGTTACACCATAACCTACTGTACACAAAGTTACCGTCTTGCTGTTACACCATAACCTACTGTACACACAGTGACCGTCTTGGTCTGACACCATTACCTACTGTACACAAAGTGGCCGTCTTGCTGTTACACCATAACCTAATGTACACACTGTGGCTGTGTTGCTGTCACAGCATAACCTACTGTACACTCTGTGGCCGTCTTGCTGTCACACCATAACCTACTGTACACACAGTGGCCGTCTTGCTGTTACACCATAACCTACTGTACACACTGTGGCCGTCTTGCTGTTACACCATAACCTACTGTACACAAAGTGGCCGTCTTGCTGTTACACCATAACCTACTGTACACAAAGGGGCCGTCTAGCTTTTACACCATAACCTACTGTACACACAGTGGCCGTCTTGGTCTGACACCCTAACCTACTGTACACAAAGTGGCCGTCTTGCTGTTACACCATGAACTGCTGCACACACAGTGGCTGTCTTGCTGTTACACCATAACCTACTGTACACACAGTGGCTGTCTTGCTGTCACACCATAACCTACTGTACACACAGCTGTCTCACTATGAACAACTGTACACACAGTGCCCGTCTTGGTCTGACACCATAACTTACTGTACACACAGTGGCCGTCTTGCTGTTACACCATGAACTGCTGCACACACAGTGGCTGTCTTGCTGTCACGCCATAACCTACTGTACACACAGCTGTCACACTATGAACAACTGTACACACAGTTGCCGTCTTGGTCTGACAGCATGACCTACTGTACACACAGTGGCCGTCTTGGTCTGACACCATAACCTACTGTACACACTGTGGCCGTCTTGCTGTCACGCCATGAGCTGCCCTTTCCTCTGCAGTCGTCTTCCTTGTCTTTGAGCTGCTGTTGATCGACCTAATGTCACTCCGAGACGGAAATAGGTCGTCTTCCTGTCTATCATGATATGGAAGCATGATCAATGTCTCCCTCAGCTCAATGCGTGCATGGCAGGTGTACTGATTGATTCCGGGCAAGGCTGCATCTTGTTCGAGTGCACACCTGGCTTTCTCTAGATTGCCCCACAAAGATGATAGTCACTAGAAAATTCTCTCTTCTCTGTACTTAATAGATTGTGTGAAATTGCTATGTTCAAAGAGCATATGTTGTCATATGCTCTTTGATGCTTGTAATATAGCTTGAACACATCACCATGGATTAATCATTACTAGTTTCTTTCAGTCACCATCAAATTTAGTGGATACTGTCATTTGCCCGTCAGTGTATTTAACGCGTGTGCACACATTCTAGAGACGACACAACTATGTGTGTGTACTGTGCCCACTGTACCAGTGTCTGAAGAGCATAATCAAAGCTGTACATAGTCAATACCGGGGCATGAAGTGCGCATTTGTAAGAGCAGCTTCGTGTTGTACTATTAACATATTCACAGTACACTTATTGGACTAGAACATGTGTTATGATCAGTAAATACATGGTTGGTATAGGCACACTGGCTAATGCATGTGTAATGACTGAGTACTTTCATAATGATAGCAGGCACCACGAGTGGTCATAATTGATGAATATCTGTGGAACGGTATGTTTGTAATGACTCATATAGTACATGCATGGTATCATTAATCTATGTGTCCTGTATTACAGATTGGTAGACAATGTCCGACATTTTCTTGGCTCTGCCTGGTGCAACAGTTGACGGCAGTGTTCTATTCGGGAAGAACTCGGACCGACCGCAGTCAGAAGTTCAAGAAGTCATATATGTCCCCCCATCTGACCACGACGCTGGTGGGAAGCTTCATGTGAGTCAACTTCTATATCAGATGTATAGTAGTGACCGGGGATATCATATATCCTGTGAATGTCATCAAAGTTGCTACATATATTCACCATGACGATAAAATCTCAATCCCATTGTTTTATTCATTATAAGGACATCTTGGTGTAGGTTTTGCTTTTCATATAGAAATAATAACAGTGTCGAGGTCGAATTAGACGTGGACTGATAAGATCAAACATATTTTCGGAAACTGCACGTGGCCTTCTATATATCGTAATGGGCAACACATGACATGATAAGCTATATGACATGAGTAACAGGTTATACAGAGTTAAATGAGTTTCGAAAATCTCTAATTTGGCTTACATGCAGCTCACTTATACTTTGAAACAGGCAGAACTGTAGGAAATGTTAGGCATAACCTGATTTGCACGGATCGTCGTTTTGTTAAAGAGAAATGGTTATTTGTGTTTTTACTGTATACAGAAATAAGAATAAAATTTCTGAATGAAACCTCTTCATTAGACACATATTCATAACCTATTTGGTTCTGACAACTGCCTTAATGTTATGATAGATACCAGTGTACAATTCAAGCAATATCTGAGTGTTTTGGCATGTTATACTATAAGCCCGGGTCCCCATGTTTCATGAATTTTGCAGTTATGTCTATGTTATACACAAAAGAAGAAAACTCCGAAAGATTTAAATAAACACATGAACACATAAACAATGTTGAAGGTCTAACACACGTTTGGGGGAATATTCAATTAGCCGCCTCTTGTCCGTATCGTATAAGTATAAAGTATATACAGACGAATGATCACAACTTATCACACTGGTTTTCAGTACTGATCTTATCATCAATTGACAGGTGGACGATGAACCATAACTTTAATTAAGGTTGGTTCCTCGAACTGAAGTTACGTGGCACGTTACTTTTCCTTGACACAGAATACTAATTCACGGAGAACTATGCAGCAAACCAACTCAAATATACCTCCAACCCATCCAACCAACAAGAAAGACCATGAGGGCTGTCCTTAATCCGTATTTCATTTAAAGACTGTTGAAAATGTGTACTACGATGATGAGGAGGAGGCGGGGGGGAGGAGGAGGATTTTACGTGCGCTTTCCGACATAATGCGTATTTCGTAGAGGGGCCAGCCAGAATATTCAGTTGGATCGAAAGAGGGGTGTGTAGCCAAATAAGTGGCTTATTTAGTTATGTAGAAATTTTAATTTGAAATCTTGCCAGAGGTGGCAAGAGGTGGCGAGGGGTGAGGGTAGCGTGTTTGTTTCAAGTTTAGCATGGGTTTGCTTTTTAAATTGTTGCTATTGGAATTCCCGGCGACTGTTTGCAGTGTACATTTATCGAGGTGGACCAGGTCTCCCACACGTATGGAGCAGTGCTCAGCAAACCCGCGTGGGCGTGGGGAGCCGAGATGGGGGCCAATGAGAACGGCGTCTGTATCGGCAACACGGCGGTGTGGACCAAACTGTGCCACCCAGGGGACCACGCAGAAAAGCTTATTGGTGTAGATTTTGTAAGGTTTGTTTGATTTGTCCTTTCACCTTTCTCATTGTGTGTTGATTGAAGTTAGGATCAAGATATATATGCCGTTGATGACAATATAAGTCAAATGCAGATAGAATAGGGATATGTTTTCTACTTGAAATAGTTGAAAAAACATATCACATTATCAAAAAGAAAGGTTACAACGTGTATACAGAATGCATATATTTTTGTTTAGAATCCTTTAAACGAGATTCTTACGCAGATTTCAGTTAAAGCAAATGATATAGGTTGTGTGTCGGTATTTGAAGACATGTTGCCTAATGTTAGCCTGCACATCGTTGTATACATCTACCATATTTCATCTCGCTTTGTTATTGATACACGGATTGACACGTATGTGTCCTACATTCAGGCTGGGCCTGGAGAGAAGCAAGTCGGCCAAGGACGCACTGGATGTGATCAGCGGACTCCTTGAGCGGTATGGACAGGGTGGGCCATGTGCAGAAGACCACAGCTTCAGTCAGTGGACATACCACAGTAGTTTCCTCATCGCTGACCGCTCAGAGGCATGGGTTCTGGACACAGCTGGGCAGTTCTGGGCAGCTCACAAGCTGACAAGTAAGGAAGCATAACAGGATATAGACTAACACTTAACCCCTGAATATATATAGTATTGATAGTAACAATTAAACCCATGTAAATTGAAAAGGTGAGCTGTGAGATTCTGAACAGGAGGAAATACAGACTTGCTTCATTTAGGGCTTGATCATTGAAGCAAGGGCTAGGCAGTAGGAAAATAACGTGGTTCAGGGACTGTGAGACAGACTAAACAAGATAGAACGACGACCTCTTAAAACGGACGTGAGGCCAATACATTACGAAAGCTCCAAGCCACATGCACATCTCTATGGCATTTTATACTATTGTGAAAGAGCTGGCGTATTCGGAAGAAAAAACTCAGGTGTGAAAGTTTTTAGACAACAGTAAGGTTTATTGCTGTAGGTTGAAAAAGATATGTGGAGGTAGCGAAAATGGTAATAGTATTCACGAGGAGGAATGCACACTCAAACCGAGTAGCCACATACAAAAAAAGTAGTTGACTATACACAAACATGCAGGAAGGCGGACGGCGTTTTTTCATCGTCGACGCAGTCGTTGGTGATGCGTTACCCACAGCCGTACAATCCATAGTTGCTGTACAACCCATTTGTTCCTGACGATGATCTTGGCCGATTTCCTTGTTTCCAGGGTAGATGTGTAACCTAACTTAACTCAGGGTGATTGACTTACGAACATGTACATACGTAAGACCAGGCATCATAAACTGACGTAAACTGGCATTTATAGACAGCAGTGGAGATTCAGGATGCTGCCTGGGGGGAACTTGTATAATAAGAAGGGATACGAACGTTTGCTGAATGTATCAGACAGACAAAGTTTATATAATGTTGGTACACTTTGGAACATATGGAAGTATTTTGGAAATATGAAGTTTTTAAGAAACATGCTGAAGTGGTTTCCATTACGACAGTATTTTATGCCCAGGACGAAGGAATGTGTTCACGTATGTTACGGGTTGTTGATGTAGGAGGTACCTACAACATCTCCAGCACCCTCACTATCGGCTCTGCCTTCGACGTGAGCTCCAGTGGTCTCCGGGAGAAGGCGAAGGCAGAGGGATATTGGAAACCGGAGGACGGGGACTTTAACTTCACTAAAGTGTTCGGGGCTTCATTCACTGGGATGTCGCTGTCCGAGGCTCAAGTTGCCAGCAACAGACTGCAAAAGGGGAAGGAACTCTTGGAGGCAGCTTCGAATGAAGGTACGTTAGCATAGACGAGATAGCATATCTATCAGAAAAAGTGAAACAAAGGCTTCAGTGTCATCCCATAGTAGCGTGTCAGTACATTAGAATGGGACTCTCCTAATGGTTCACAGTGTGACAGCAAAAGCCATACCCTTTCAATCAAATAAGTTTGGTAGTAAGATCGTGGCTTTGAATAAGCAAAGATTTGTTAAATTTTCAGGTAAGCTGAATCAGACCAACATTTTCAACATACTGCGTGATGAAAAAAGCAGCATCAACTTCAGTGGCGAGCTGCAGACAGTGTCAAGTCAAGTCAGTCTCCTCCGTCCGGAGGGATCCAAGTCCATGGATATTCACTGGTTTACAGCCACGCCTAACCCAAGTCTTTCAGTTTTCAAGCCTTTCATGTTCTCTCCTGAACCTTCGATCGGATATTTTACCGTTTCTCCAAACTTTGGAGACAAGGCCCGGTCAAGTTTTCAAACAGCCGTGGATCGGCGCCACCCGTTATTCAAAGCTCATGAGAAAGGTAGAGCACTGATGGAGGGCGACACACCAGCCGGTAAGAAATTGCTCCATACCATGCAGAGATTAGAAACAGATTGCCTCCAGGATACCCGAGAGTTTGTTCAGGATATCGACGACAACAAGCTGCAGGAACTCAATGATCTTTTTAATGATTTCTGTGAAACCGAAGTGAAATTCTACAAATAAAGGACTATTTGGCGACCTTCTACCACAGCTTTCTAGAGCTCCGCATCCCGTGCATAAACGCGTGTGCGTTTGTTATTGTCTCAGCCAGACCAACGTACTGTCCCAGTCTGTCGACACGCGCTAGTGGACCACTACTAACATAATGCATAATACTCCCGTGCAAATACTGTCCTTATGTATATTTAAAGTGAACCAACGCAGCTTTTTGCATATGCCCCAAAACAAACCAGACAGACTGACTTTCCAAAACAAACCAGTGGTCTTCAAACATTGCACCTTGACGTGTCATATATGTGCGTGTGGTTGCACAGTGTTACTGTGCATTGTCAATATTAAGGTTTAATGCATTCCATTTTTGTTTTATATATTTTCTTGAGAATTATTGTCCCAAATGGTCAGGATACACAGGAGTACATGAGCAAAAGGTATATGTATTTTTATCATCACAAAAAACCTTACAAACAGTCCCAAGTGAACTAGACCTTACACGACATTGAATGTTAAATCAGGGCTGTAGTAAGGCACTGCCAACATACCACACACAAGGACCACTTGTCTTCTATGTGCTGTTTGTATCTACACATCGTCTCTCCAGTAAATTACAACTCGATCAAAGTAGCGTTTAACATCACTTCATTTATAGGCTGCAAATGCATTTCAGTGTACTTAATGTTTGGAATATATTCCTTTAAGGTGGTCAGGACAAGAGATGTATCTTACTGACAGAACACTCGCATATAACATGGAATAATTTATAAGCAGGCTTCGTAGAATAAGTCTAGGACGTGTAGAATGTCTGATATAACTAGGATGCAAGGATCTGCGCCAAAGTCTGTCTTGCAATACTCTCTTTGTGGAGGGACACCACTGACGGTGTTTGGGGCTTGTGCAGCCGCCTCCAGCCACCGCCGCTGTATCTCTGTCAAATCATTTGTAAGTGGGTGAAGGTAGTGTATCTACAGTTTCTAGGTTGTAAGCACTTTGAACACTGCGATATAAGCTTGATAAGTTTTCCTTTCCAATAGAGCTGGTACTCTATGGCATCCAGGCACACGTATATATTTCTAAACTTCCGAAACCCGTGTTATTGTCTGACTTGGTCATTTTTAAATGAAGATAAACACAATTACGCTTTAAGAGAAGAAGCAAAACTGTCCATGTGTGCTTTATGTATGTATTCCCTGTACCGGAGGGTCGTGAACTTGGCCAATGACTATACCACGTGTTGCCTAACATTGTAAACACTGCACCTGGGAACCATCTTCGTGGTGGACGTCTGTAGTGTGGTCACATGTAGCCTTGCACCTTGCTGCACACGACCTGTATGTGTTGTCTTCACTGAATGTTGGCTGTGTCGGGGCTATCGCAGATCGATTGACTCACTTGAAAATAACCACAAGTGGCTTCGTGTGTTCTTCTGGTTTCGTCCATAATTCCCTAAAACAAGCTTTTATGCTGTATATCTATGAAGTATTTATTATGTAGCTATTAAAGTTGTATATATTGGATAATTTTGTTGATTTGGTTATAGCGGCAAATGTGAACTGACTGCAATTTCTAGGTTGCCTTTTTACGCTGTTTGCAGGACTGCTGTAAGCTTCCGTGGAAATAAATGCTTTTCAGATGTCTGAGTATGTTATGTAATGACACGTGAAGGACTTCTGAAGAGTGCAATGAACAAATTGAAAGGTATTTTTTCATGATTGGTGTACAAAAGGAAGACAATGGATCGCAAGAGTAACATGCTTCACCCCACGGAGTCGCTACCCAGCTCATCTTTTGTTTGTAGCTTCGGACTATACAGGGAAGCGCGGTTTGGAAAATATTGCCCACGAAACATGATTGTGCTGCCAAACATTCAGTTTTTCTATTCAGTTTTGCTATTACACACGGAGAGACATTTGTGATTGTATGGCCACCACTACCTATTGGTTTTGCTTACTATGTAATACCTTCTTCCATGCATCGCAGGGCGAGCATAAATCAGTATGAAGACTTCTGACCAACGGTTAATTGAGAAAAGAAGTGACATTTTATTAGGGTAGTGGGTTATTATATAATTTAACAAAATGAGATGTTTAAAAAGGGACATTAATCACGATCTCAGGCCATTTGGAGTCTAGGTCATGAGCAATAAGTGTAGTGTGAGAAATTTATAAGGAAGGTAAAATTAATGGGACTTTAGTCTCTAACAATTATCCGTGGTATTCTCACCTTATAACGTTTTAAATTCAGTACAAACCTTAACAATTTTCATGCACACCTTCTACAGGAGTGGACTTCACAACCATACGGTATTGATGGTAAGGATCCTTATGTTTCGAACATATGAACTGGACCTCACTGGTGCAAAAATAGAACGTACCAGTATTTCTGTATAGTTAAGTACATATAATTGTACTTGCCCATGTACTTCACTGTTGGGTGAAGTTTGTAAAATAGTAACCATTCCGAGAAACCATTCAAGACTTCTTCATGCAACTTGGTATACGCATCAGGCATACGCATGAGCCGCGACTCACACATTTCAGTCACTATTCCGTCAGACAGTCGGGTAGAAGCCAGCCCCAAGTGCCCTACTAGCTGCTAGGCTGATAGATATAATACCATTGGAGGTTAACATGTAAGCGGAAAGGCATCAGGGAAATCACATGAAATACCAAGATCGTCACGCATTATACAACAAGGAATACAGAGCTTAAATCAATCTCTCCTACATTACACAATAAGGAGTACAGAGCTGACATGTTTCTTACATTATGCAATAAGGAGTACAGTGTTGACATGTTTCATACATTATACAATAAGGAGTACAGAGCTGGCATGTTTCGTACATTATACAATAAGGAGTACAGTGTTGACTTGTTTCATACATTATACAATAAGGAGTACAGAGCTGACTTGTTTCATACATTATACAATAAGGAGTACAGAGCTGACTTGTTTCATACATTATACAATAAGGAGTTCAGAGCTGGAATGTTTCATACATTATACAATAAGGAGTTCAGAGCTGACATGTTTCGTACATTATACAATAAGGAGTACAGAGCTGACATGTTTCATGCGTTATACAATAAGGAGTACAGTGTTGACATGTTTCATACATTATACAATAAGGAGTACAGATCTGACTTGTTTCATACATTATACAATAAGGAGTTCAGAGCTGGAATGTTTCATACATTATACAATAAGGAGTTCAGAGCTGACATGTTTCGTACATTATAAAATAAGGAGTTCAGAGCTGGAATGTTTCATACATTATACAATAAGGAGTACAGAGCTGACTTGTTTCATACATTATACAATAAGGAGTACAGTGTTGACATGTTTCATACATTATACAATAAGGAGTACAGATCTCACTTGTTCCATACATTATACAATAAGGAGTACAGAGCTGCATGTTTCATACATTATACAATCAGGAGTACAGAGCTGACATGTTTCATGCGTTATACAATAAGGAGTACAGTGTTGACATGTTTCATACATTATACAATAAGGAGTACAGAGCTGGCATGTTTCGTACATTATACAATATGGAGTACAGAGCTGACATGTTTCATACATTATACAATAAGGAGTTCAGAGCTGGAATGTTTCATACATTATACAATAAGGAGTTCAGAGCTGACATGTTTCGTACATTATACAATAAGGAGTACAGAGCTGACCTGTTTCATACATTATACAATAAGGAGTACAGAGCTGACTTGTTTCATATATTATACAATAAGGAGTTCAGATCTGGAATGTTTCATACATTATACAATAAGGAGTACAGAGCTGACATGTTTCATGCATTATACAATAAGGAGTACAGAGCTGACATGTTTCATGCATTATACAATAAGGAGTACAGTGTTGACATGTTTCATACATTATACAATAAGGAGTACACTTACAGAATACCGGATACCTACCAGCCATATTGTTTAGTGTGACGTCACCCTAACCCTAAACCTTACCCTAACCATTAACCCTAACCCTTACCCTAACCCTTACCCTATCCCTAAACCTTACCCTAACCCTTACCCTAACCCTAACCCTAACCAAAAGTAAACTCGCGTGCTTTCAAAGATGGCGGAAGGTATCCGGTATTCTGTAATCTTACCGAGCTGACTTGTTTCATACATTATACAATAAGGAGTACAGAGCTGACTTGTTTCATACATTATACAATAAGGAGTACAGTGTTGACATGTTTCATGCGTTATACAATAAGGAGTACAGAGCTGGCATGTTTCATACATTATACAATAAGGAGTACAGTGTTGACATGTTTCATACATTATACAATAAGGAGTACAGTGTTGACTTGTTTCATACATTATACAATAAGGAGTACAGTGTTGACTTGTTTCATACATTATACAATAAGGAGTACAGAGCTGCATGTTTCATACATTATACAATGAGGAGTTCAGAGCTGGAATGTTTCATACATTATACAATAAGGAGTACAGAACTGACTTGTTTCATGCGTTATACAATAAGGAGTACAGTGTTGACATGTTTCATACATTATACAATAAGGAGTACAGAGCTGGCATGTTTCGTACATTATACAATAAGGAGTACAGTGTTGACATGTTTCATACATTATACAATAAGGAGTACAGAGCTGACTTGTTCCATACATTATACAATAAGGAGTACAGAGCTGACTTGTTTCATACATTATACAATAAGGAGTTCAGATCTGGAATGTTTCATACATTATACAATAAGGAGTACAGAGCTGACATGTTTCATACATTAAACAATAAGGAGTACAGAGCTGACTTGTTTCATACATTATACAATAAGGAGTACAGATCTGACTTGTTTCATACATTATACAATAAGGAGTACAGAGCTGACTTGTTTCATACATTATACAATAAGGAGTTCAGAGCTGGAAAGTTTCGTCAATATACAATAAGGAGTACAGAGCTGACATGTTTCATGCGTTATACAATAAGGAGTACAGTGTTGACATGTTTCATACATTATACAATAAGGAGTACAGAGCTGACATGTTTCTTACATTATACAATAAGGAGTACAGAGCTGCATGTTTCATACATTATACAATAAGTAGTACAGAGCTGGAATGTTTCGTACATTATACAATAAGGAGTACAGAGCTGACATGTTTCGTACATTATACAATAAGGAGTACAGTGTTGACATGTTTCATACATTATACAATAAGGAGTACAGAGCTGACTTGTTTCATACATTATGCAATAAGGAGTACAGAGCTGACTTGTTCCATGCGTTATACAATAAGGAGTACAGAGCTGGCATGTTTCATAAATTATGCAGAAAATATTATACGACTACAGAGCCGATTCGGAAAAATCAATATATACCTATCCTGTGTTTCTGGTGTACTGAAATGCACAGAACAGCAATCACTCGTCATGCCATCTGCTACATTAGGACCAAACAACCGATAATCAACGGTTGACCTATATGAGTATTCCTACCAACCTGTGTTTGCTTTAAATCGACAACATCTCCTACTGGAGGAAGAGGTGACTACGGTGCGGAAGCTGGATACATATTTTGCCGAAGTGGTGGGAATTCACTTGTCAAATTGATAAGTGGTTCCTGCAGATTAACACCGGTACTGCCATGAAACTGATCATCAGTCTCGGACAAGAATGATCAATTCAAACCTAAATCTTCAGACATATTTTTTATTTCTTTTCTGAAGTTGAGTGTAATGAGAAAATTGAAAATATCGGCGTCACGTCACCAAATCTGTATTGGGCGCCTAGCGCGTGTGGTGTTAGACGCCCAGTGATAGCAGCACAAGGTAGATGTATATGGTAAGATGGATACCGTTTTATCTTGTGTGTACAGTAATCCTTGCCTACGTTTTCTGTAGGGTTCCTGGCCGGTGTCCAAAACTTCGTTAATTATAGACAAAACACAAGACTATGAAACTTCAAGTCAGTTTATGAAAGACAAGGGGTAAATAAAATGAATGAATGAATGAATGAAAGAAAGGTCAAGCCTGTATAGCAATATAGCAAACATCCCTTACATGTTTCTCCCCTTGTCCCACCTACGTAAATCCAACCTCTTGAACTCAATGAAACTTCCGGTTAGATTCACCCTGCTAACCTATAAATAAATAAAATAAAATAAACATGAATAAAAAAAAATGAACCTATTTGTTCCTACTCTATTTCTCTCCTAGCCCACAACTATCACTAATCTAATGTACTCCCCGAAGAAACCTAACATGAACTGGAAACTGAGTGTACCCTTGCTACAAGACTCGAAAGTCGCCAGTTAACTTACCCGATGCAGGTACAGGACGACTGCCGATTCCCTACCCAGGGTAGGCTTATATAGCCAGCACAGGGGATTCACAAATACAGCCAATGCAATCGCTCCTTACATCTCAGCCCCTCAAAATGACTGCCGCCTAGCCGGGAATGCAAGAAGCGTGACATCGTCACGTCTTCCCAGCCTACAGGACCGCATGGGCATAAGCTTCTACAATATTCCTCATGTCTGAAAGATTTTTGAAAGCCTCACAAAAAAACGAACCGGAAAACATTATGTTTGAAACTAAAAGGCAAAACATAAAATGTTAACATATCTTAATTGACTTTGAAAAAGT